TTGCAAAAAGACTGATATAAAAGATGGAATACGATGATGGTATATGAAGTTGTTCTTGAAGGAAAACTAATGAAATGGGTTCATACCTTTATGAATTTGTATTATGATTACATTTTTTTGGCAAATCTATGATTGTGAAAAAGTTAAGAATGGTTGATGCTAAGAACTTTAACATGTATAAATATACAATTTTTACAAGTTATGTAGAAAAAATATACAATGATGTGCAACAAATCATATATAGTATATTATTTGTCTATAAAAAACTATTCGTAAGGAAAAAAAATCAAATGCTAAAATCTCAATGTTTGCAAGTATATAGAATTTCATCATATATATAGTAGATTACACTACCTACCCTTTAGGCCCTAGAATGGGTAGTTCGGATTTGTGGTCATAATTATTAACTATTAGTAAGAGGACAAATCTATTAAATTTCCTAGTTCAATTGATTGATTCAACTGTGGCATATAGGACCAATCATTTTAGGATTTAACTAGCGTCTAATCTGTGGTCAAAGTTTATAATGTGTTTCTTTTGTTGTTTAAAATTATATAAAATTGAATTGTGTTTTTTTCACTGATGAAATTCATTCCAAAGTAAGAACCACAAGTTGTAACACATAAGCTGACGACCATACGAAAAGCATCAAGAACCCACATAAAGGCGGCAACTGAAGGATATAAAACATGAAATCTACACCATTACTAAAATCAGATATACGGTTAACATCCACGAAGGAGCATATAACATAACAACTCAACAGCCTTTTGAACCAAGCACATGTCGACGATTGGGAGTTATCGTTGCTGTCTATAGTCCACCACCCGATAAATTTCACTTCTACACTTAAACCACGACTTATCGCTGTTGCCTCCCCCGCCAAACGCTAATATCCAAGAACCAAGAACCGGAGACTTCATAACCCGAGAGACCGCACTTGGTCCACAACCTTCGGATAAGAATGAGACGTAATCATAACCGTACAAATTCCTTAGATAAAAGCTCACCCAACACTCCACGACAAAGCCTTGCCAACCGAACGGTAAACATTAAACATAATTTGTTTGAACTATTTCATCAACAATCAACATTAAACATAGTTTGTTTAAAGTATGGTGGAATTTTACGGTATGTTACTTTACAGTAAATAAATAGACGAGTAAAAGAATGGGCCATCCCAACCCAATTATGTGATCCACAAAACGTGAGATACCTAAGAGAATGCTACTTGGTAAAAGACTAAGACACCGGTCTACCAATTTCACCTTCGGGAAAATTGAATGGCCAGACAAATTCAACGATTAAAGGTTAAGAACTGAGCAAATGTATCAAAATCTTGCAAACCAATACCTCGGCCTAATCTTACTATTCCAAAAGAAGATATCTATTAAGTGTAAAGATCACTTCTCTAAATAGTAGTCTTTATTAGCTCAATACGGTAGTTACAACAATGGAGATAATCTCATAGCAATTATCTCTTCTACTCTCATAGCTAATAGAGATCTAGCACATAAGCTAAGATTCACTACTGTAAACAACCGATAAGCATAACATAATCGATTACATGTATATACTATATATACTCACCACTCTCGTAAATCGTAACCAACTTCAATTCTTCAGCTCTTCTTCTGTTATTACGGTTTTGGCCTTGACCCTTCCTTCTCCACAGCATTCTTAAGTCTTACTTTTTGTTTTTGAAACAGTCTCAAGTCCAATCAAAACATCAAACTAAGAGCATGTTCATGTAATCAGGAATTACACCTGATAAGGGCATGAGCGAGCACTATAGATGTAGTAGAATTGTAGAAACATCACGCCCAAGGTCAATAGTCTCAGCAGTCAGCACTTGCTTGGCTCGCAAGTTATACTCTAACATTCTCTATTTTACCCTTTAACTCACAATGAGTGTTTCGTTATTATTTCTTATTCCCTTGTCCCAGTTTGGTTAATAACTTAATATCATATTTTGAGGTTAATTAAGCATCGGAATAAAACTGTATGATTGTATTAACTTATTAATGTTGTCCTTGTATTCTAAGAACACATTTATTATTGTCATGCTTTCTCCTCTAATACAGTGTTACTAGGATAAGACATGCGCCTTGCGCAGGGTGAATATATGTAATTAAAATATAAAATTTTAATATTCACAAATTTAAAATTTACATATGATTGTTTTTGTATGTATTTGAAATTTTAGAATTTTAGAATTTTTATATAATTAACTATACGTATGATCAAAAACAATTTTAATTAGAAATGTAAATCAAATCTTAGAATTTAATGGATCTGATTTCATATATCTTTTTACTTTTCAGTGTTCGAGTGATGGAAAATAAATGGAGTGTCACTGGGCTTGATTGGTAGAGTATAGCAAGTTCCCTAATGTTTTTAAAGAAGCAATTGGTAAAATATTTGCAATTA